ATTGGTTATCGTAAGATACACAAAGAAATTTTGAAGAGTCCAGGCCCAGCCACGTACATCAAAATAAATTATGATATGATAAAACGACGGAGTCCAGCATATAGTCTAAAAGGAAGACACATTTTATCAGAAAGACATCGCAGTCCTGCACCAATCTTTTATCCATTGTATGATACACGAAAACGTTCACCTATGTATTCATTTGGTATAAAACATAGTGAATGCGCCGGAATACCTATGACACAGCTAGATGAGGATTAATTTTATAATTAAATATTGTATATAAACATTTTGTTATAGTATTTTTTATATTTGCATAATAAATGTGGCTATACATTATGATATAATAATATAATAGTGTAGCACACTATTTGTGGATAAGTAGGGCGGATTAAGAGTGTGGTCGAATTGCCGTTACGAATTCTTTGAAGCATTTGATTAATTAATCGGAAGAAAGACTTTTACTAATTGAATCAAAAAACAATTAAAAAATGCTTCGAATCATTCATTCAAGCAGCAACTTGACCACACTCAAAATTAAACAAAAAAGAGTAATTGTTAATACTTGATTTATATTTTAACCCTAAAATCCTAAAATTTAGCCAATAGCACTACCAATCCCAATTAGTCAATCCTAACTGAAATCTGTATTCAATTGGCTGAATTTTAGGATTAAGACCGAAGCATAAACCAGGCATTCATCTAATATATATTTATACTTCGATTTTACCACGATGTAAGAATAAAAATGCGGGATCTACAATAGAAGTTATAGCGGTTATAGTGTGCTTTTCAATTACTTAATACATCTTAATACAAATGTACACAAGAATACACAAAGTATAACATTGGTCTAGTTTCCACCGAGGATTTAAACCGGATTAAAATGTAAGAACTAGCCAACTACAGTCGAGTATTTCCCTGTTACAGTCGAACGACAGGGGAATTGTGCACGATTCAATTGGAATAGAATGTGTACGCTGTGCACGATTGAGACAATATAACTACATCAATAGCGACAGCATAATGAAAAAAAGGTGAAGTATTCCCGCGCGCAGTAGGAGAATGAATTTAGGTAATGAATTTGGTTTGATTGGCTATTTTAGCATGCAATCCTATTAAACGTAGGAAAGTGCATATTGGAGGAAATTTGATTGATTATTTCCAATATTGTTATCGCCCAAGATTGGATAAGTTAATGTTTTTTTAAAACTAAATTAAGTTAAAGTTAATGACTTATAAAATATGATTTATAAAATTATTAAAATTAAGTTGAAAGTTGAATAAAGAATTAACTTAATAAAAGTTAAGATTAAATTAAGTTTAAAAAAAAGTTCATTTTGAAAAAAATTATTTTTGAGATTGTCCTAATTTTTTTTTAATTTAGAGATTACTTTAAATAACCCTTAAAAATATAGATTAAGCAGATTTAATTTTATATCCACATGTACGTTACTTATATATAATAAGTCAATAATCACATTATGTGTTTTTATCAAAACATCTTTATCAAAATCTTATGAGAGAGAAAGGATATATGTTTGCATTATTTCTCTTTCTTTAACCTTTATCTAACGTTTTTTAATGACTGAAACGACTATTCATGTTTATGACTACATCGACTAAATATGTATTAAAAAATATATGTAAAAATTTAGAAAATGGGTGAATGTGCATCTCTGTTCTATAACAATTCTCCATCTAAGGCTCATTTCATATTTATTTCATATTTACTGAAATATAACGTTTGCAATACCTAAAATTAGTATGATTCAAATATAAGCGGGAATTGACAAAATCTAGCGAGTCAATAAAAACTGGCTAGCGTAGAGTGTGACTCTTATTATAGTCTCTCATCATAAAATCATTGAACTTTTTCTAAATTAATTCTCTAATGTTTAAGACTTTATAAAAAAAAATATTAGCATTAAGAAAGATAGAAAAATTTTCAATTTAAAAAAGTTAATACATTAAAGTTTAAAATTTTTATTAATTAAATTAAGTTAAAAATTAATGCATTTAAAATTAATTAAGTTAAGTTAAAAGTTATTAATTTTTTAACTTTTTTTTAACTTTTAACATTTCAGCTAGTTACTATCCAATTTTACCTTGCTATTGTCTGTATGCGCAATGTTTCATCTTACATTCTTCCCACCATAAGCGACAGTATGAGCAAACGAAGGATTCAGTTTTGTTCTGCGCATGCGTTGCCTGTAAAATCAAGAATATGGCGGATTGTCATAGCTTAAAACTGTGGCGACGATGGATGAGATACAATAAATTATAATTGAGAGCTAAGTGAATATTGTATATAATTACACATATTAAGATGAATAAAATAGATGGAATTTTTTGTACTTTTGCTACATGCAAAAATATTAATAGAGGAGCTAGAAACAAAATATTATATAGGTATGGGAAAAAGTTCGTGGCGTTTCTCCCGTTAGATGGCATTAAAAAAACGTCACGAACTTTTTCCCATATCTAATATGTTTTTTTCAATTTTCTAAGGATATTAAAAAATACTTATCCACTAGAGCAAAACATCTTAAAGATTTATGGCGTCTTAAATTAATCGAATCGATGTCGATTCCATTATCATTTCTACTTGGGAAGAGATCTTAAAGTTTTGTGTCCCAATTTTAAACATTGTGCTATCTGAAATTGTCAATAAATTGTTGACTTACAAATATCATATTTCATATACTATTTTATGATTTCATTTGATTCATTCCAAAAATACACTACTCAATAAAAAATAGGGAACACTTTAGAACACGCTCAAAATTGCATAATATTCAGAATTTGATTGATTCTTTATGGAGATATACGGATACAAATGGATACCCGTCAAAATCTGAAAAATTTTTGACAAACTTTACGAAGATCTGTGGCATGAAGTAAAATTCAAAAATGCGATTTACGGCAGTCGAAGAAGTGAATCTTTACTTTCAATTTGATTTTTTATTGAGTATTGTACTTTTTTCATCGATATTGAACGTTGAAGCAAAACTGATCATTGATAGGGTATCCACTTGTATGGGGAATTTTGATGGAGATCCATTTGTATATCTCTCTTCTGTATATCTCCATAAAGAATCAGTCATATCGAAATATTAATTATCGATTTCGAAAGTAGAGACTTCAAGCTTTCAAATGCTTTTTTGATTTTTTTGTCTGCGATAATTTTTCACCGTGTTACGGTGTTCTGAATATTACGCAATTTTGAACGTGTTCTAAAGTGTTCCCTATTTTTTGTTAAGTAGTATATATTGAAATTAGAAACAAAAAAATAGATTTATATTAATATATAGAGTGATATATGTAAAACCATATATAGAATTTAACCGAATTTTAAAAATACTTTAAATATGCGAAATACTGCAACATCTCTTGATGCCGTTCAAAGCGGTCCGTAAAACCTTCAACATATCTGACAGTCACGTGATCAGTGATCTGATATCAAAGAAGTCGACACTATTGTTACTACTGTATGTAGTTATACTGTGATTGAGATCCGTTTCAGATAGAGTTAGATTAAATATAGCTTTTTCTGCGTATTAAACAAAAAAAAAAGTAAAAATGCCGGCCACTCAACCTCATTTATAGTTAGTAATATGTAATTGTCACTAGAAAACACAAGCTTACACAGCCCTCGGCTGAGTACTGGGAGTCTATTCTTGAACTTTTCGCAATGTTACGAGTGCGCACAGTTCGAATGATAAAAATGCATATATGCATTCTACGGTATTCTTGAACATTAATAAATAATACTCGTAATTGGAAACATATTCGGTTGATTTACATTTGGTACCGTCGAAAAATTATGTACTTTCTACAAATATCATTCAGAAATACGACGTACAAAAAGATAGTACTTCATATTTTTATATTAATTGATAGAACTTAAAGAAATGTATGTATACATAAAAATGTTTTTATTAATTAAAAATTTTTTATAATTTTTTGTTAGCACATACATATGAGACCATTTTTATGCCAACAAAAGATATATTATTATATTTAATGTGTAAGTTAGAATTAGCAGGAAAATATTACTTGTTATTTTTAATAATTTTTTCTCATTCTTAGAAATAAATATTTTCTAAAATTGGAAATGTAACATACTATATAATTTTTGAAAATCCAAATGTAACAAAAATGTTTCAAATTTTTTATCTACTTGACAAATAGTTGTCATAAAGTTTTACTAGTAATGAGACAAGTATAATATTTATGTCTTCTTCTTTCTGAGATTTCCACATTTTCTACAGCATCCATAATCGGCGCATTTATTATAATATCGTTGTTATTTTAAATCCATGTCTATTTTTGCCTTTATTTTTGTCGTTTTTGATCCTCATCAAATGTGAAACGTATGACCATGGAATATAGAGAATAGGAGGCCAAACTTACATGGCCGTGGTTTTTTGAATTAATTTGATCGAGATGTCGCTTTCGTTCCACCACACCGTTCTCGCATGATAGGTCATACCAATTTTACATGAAGAATATTCCATTTTTCATGTAAAATTAAAACTCAGTTTTAATGACAATTTACGTCTTCCTGTTACTGCCAAAGCATGCTGTCAAAGAATAACATTTCTATTCTTGAGAAGCGTGAACATACATAACAAGGTTATGTGTTTGGTTACATTGTGTGTATGCATAAGCGTATATGAGAGGAGTTTTGCGATTGCCGCCTACCGAGCACCAATACTAATTTAGAAACTTGATTTTGACTACATTTTTCAAAACCTAGTTCTCCTCTAGGTCTCCTCTATATTCCATGATGGATTACCTCATCAAAATACAACGAGGATCAGAGCCATTAATCACAAAAGACAAAAAACCATGAGGGATACGATCCATTCGTTGCATCGTATACGCACCGGCAGAAACGGTGTCCCCTGGCGTTCAGTGCGCGGCGCTACATACTCGTATTGAAGCGCACACGAACGTGCTGGAAACGCGGAGGATGCGAGGAGCGCGAAGAGAGAAAGTAGTGGGGGAGTGTTCCGATATTCTACCTTTAGCGCAAGGCGCACGATTAAAAAAGAAAATGTAATTGAACGTGATGTCGACTTACGCTATATATAGTGTCCTTTCGCTATCTTTGCACATTGCAAATTTATAAATGCAGGCAAATCTATTACAATGAGTCTCAAAATTACATGTAATGTTGTAATTATGCACATAAATTTTTTACAGTATTAAAAATTTTTGCATAATTACATTTTGTGCATAATAATAACATTTTG